CTAACTAACTAACTACTACTACTACTACTACTCTCTCTCTCTCTCTCTCTCTCTCTCTCTCTCTCTCTCTCTCTCTCTCTCTCTCTCACACTCACACACACCGTGGAGCATAATGCGGGTTGTGGTATTGGGGGTCCAACCCATAAACCAAAATAGATCAAAGACCTTCTCCCATCTACTTTCTAAATAGCTACATTACATACAATTGAAAAGAACTTATCCATCTAAGAATCTTCTATTGGTTTTTAATGGAAAGAAGCATTACTTTTTAGCATTGTTACCTTTCCTTCTTTACACTCCTAATTTTTGTTTTGGAGTATTGTCTGCATAGATCACCATGCTATGGCATCACAACCTTATAAGAGGGTGCCATCATCCACATAACACTAACACCAATCAAGAATTCTACGGGCGGTTCAGCAAAAGTGGACAATAGTGCCCATGGAAATAATGAGGCCGAAGATAAATATTTCTGCCATATGCCACCTGTAGGGGTATTGAAGTTCAACTCTGATGGAAGCCCCCATGGGGAAGCAGTTAAATGAAGGAAAATGATTTGACAAATAAGGAAGAAGGTTCGACTTTAAACAAAATTAAGAATCCACACCCTATTACCCAAACTACAGTTGCTTTCCAAGGAGCACAGGACCTCCAGTGGTTAAAGGTGTCTTGCTGAATGTAATTCTTGGAGGAGGTGAACCAAATGCATCGAGCATGCAACATTTCTTATAAAAGAAACCTAAGAACTTAGCAAACCACTTGATGCCTTCTCTGATGGATGATTATTTTGAATAATCTTCGGGCAAAAGGTTTCATAGACAGGTGCATACCAATAGAAACCATGTTCCTCTTCTTCATGAATTGTATCAATTGTAAAGATTGAATCATTTATGTCTCTATCCTAAGGTACTCAAGGAAAATTTGTCTTTTACAACTTCGCAAGTATATACTGGTATTCTACAAAAGGATTTTGAACAAGAAAGTAACTCATGAGATGATCCTGGTTAAGATAAATGACTCAAGTCCATATCAAGCTCTAAGGACCATGCATCAATATGTGTTCCAGAACTAAATTTTCCTGGAGTCCAAAACAACATTCACCAATAAATCTAAGAACTTGTGAGATGCAAATCACCACGGCAATCGAATCAGAATCAAGGAAGAACAAACAATCATAAAAAATAATCTTCCAAAAGCACCCTTAAATCCACAGTAAAATTAAGAAAAAAATCCAATCAATGGAGTCCCACGACATGGAAGCTGTTTCCTAGATCTTAAACAAAAGAAGACAATGGATAATCCAACAACTACCTCTACAACAAACTGATCACAAAGAAAATCAGGCATAAAAAACCGCAAAGCACAAGTTTCCATTGAAAAAATACGACACAAGAGAATAAATGAAACCAGTTGCAGAAAGTCGGAAACAGAAATGGATTCCATCGATAAACTAGGGATCAAGCACTCACCTCTGAAAGCGGATTAACACGTCCAAACTGTAAACCCTAATACTCTCTGGCTTTGCAAGAGAGAGACCGAGAAAAAGAGATTACGAGGAAACCTAAAATTTTAGATGTCACGTAACCGACATTAAAGGAGGTGGGAAGAGAGATAAAAGATGCAAGTAATGAGGAGAGAGAGAGTCTAATGTTCGAGTGCAATGAAGCCTTCTCGAGAAAGCAATACCACGTGGCACGATGTGGATGCGCTTTGATGCAGCTTGTGTGCGTCATAAATTTATTTCTTGAGATGAATCCGAAATTTCGCACAAATTTCAGCAAACGACGCAAGACCATAACTCGGCGACCAAACCTGGGACCGAAATTTTTCGCGATAAGTTGTGGATGTTTCACTCCAACGAAGTTTTGAGGAAGGAAAATTGTTTCATGCGTGCTGCACCGTATTTATTATACATATGCGGTCCAGAAACGGTAAAGCATCCATTTTAAATATGGATGCAAGTAGGTATTCCATCTAAACATAATGGATACTGACAGTCCAAATTTTTTTTACTATAATTATTATTTTAAAATTTTAAAATTTATTTATTTTTCCATATTCATGATCTCCACGTTAGATATTACATGTCTTTAAAAATTAAACCCAATCTCAAAAATAGATTTATTAAGAGGCCCGTATTTCTACATATACGGGCTTTGCCGCATAGAAACTAGGTCCTTTGAAGAATTCTAGGCAATTCTTTTCAAATGGATAATTTTTTTTCAGGAAATTTGTAGAAATTTTATTTTATATTGTTTTAAAAGTAGTGTGATATATTTCACATTTTCTACTCAAAGTCTCAGTTTTCAGAGCACGGTGTATTTAAATTTTATGTTTTTATCTAGAGTGTGATTTGTTTAAGGCTCAGGCACTAAATGATCAAAGTAAGGCGCACTTTAAATAGTATCCAAAGATATCCTTTTAGTATCGGAAATCTTTGTGATGCACTGAAAATTTCTTTTAATCTCTAATTATAAAATTTAAAAGGTCAAAAATAGTGTAGATCAAGCAGATTTAGGAACACTTGAAAATAGATGGCCTAGATAATGCATTACATGATGCACTATTTCCAAGACTTGAAGTTCGTTTTTTAATTCCATGTATCTCACAATTGAGATGATTGGATTTAAGGGTTTTTTGGCATTGAAACAACTTTTTCTAGTGAGTTTTTGAAGTGTTTAAGGCCTCAACTTTATCCAAACCTTTTCCTTTTGTTTGTTTATTCGATTAAGCTTAAGTTTAGAATGTCCATGCTTCTCAAATAACTAAAAGAAAAATTCGAAAAATAGTTTAAAATAAATAAACTTACAAATATAACTATGAAAATTGTAGGAGCATATTGGTTATTTATTATTTTTAAATATTACATTATACTATGATACAATCATTGTATGAAATCACTGCCCTACGATACACGGATGCACATGAGTTTTCAAAAGGACGCTGTTATCATGCGGCCAAGCCCACATATGTACAAATGGGGGCTTGGCAATAAATATAATTTGATCTTAATTTTTAGAGAATATATAATCACTAACATGGAGATCATAAATATGAAAAGATAAATAAATTTTGAAAACTAAAAATAATAATTATATTAAAAAAAACATTTGGATCGTTAGTTACAATTGTTTTTAGATGGGCCATTTATTTGCATCCATCTTTAAGATGGATGCTTTATACCTCTAGACCTTATATTGTGCAAATGCGGTCTAGCCGACACGAAACAAATGTTCTTTTCAAAATAATAGGCAGTGTTTGATGGATAAAATTGGAGTTTGGGTTCATTTAAAACGTTTGTTGCAATTTAACTGAATGAGGTGCTTGATTCATAAATTTGAATTAATTTCCAATTACAATTTCTTGATTTTTTTCAAACCACTCCAATTTGGAAGCCGAGCTGTCGAGATTCCAAACCAGTTTGGAAAGAACTGCTTTGAAAATGGCGCCAGCACCAAAATTCAAATTCAAAGCAACAAGTTGTGAAATACCCTAGATTAGATTAAAGAATTCCAACTCTGTTTTCTAAGGCAAAGGCAACATTAGATTTGCAAAGATTAAAAATAATTTTATGCTCTACACATAAAAGAGATGGATGAAAAGGGGGGGCTCAGATGAATTAGAAAGGGAGATAGGTAAAAATAATAATAATAATAGAGAGAGAGTAGTAAAAAAAAATGGTGCACTGATCAGTAAGCCAGGAGATCGGGGCCATACCGACATACCCCACGAACTTATATGCTTTGCAGAGGTTGAAGCGCCTCACATTACACAACATGGTTAACAATATCAATGGAAACTGAACTAAAATTGCCTTAGCACTAGAAATCAGTGTCTAAAAGATCGGCCGATTTTTTTCAAAGATCAGCCGATTTTTTAAAAAATCGGCTGACTAACTCAAGATCAGTTACTGGCCGATTTCGATCTGGCCCGATTCCAACGGTCATGTATGCATGTATTTTTTTTCAATACACTAATGGGCCTAATAATCGAATTAATAGGCACTAATCAGCCGATTTTTAGAGGCTGACTAATCGGACTAATTAACCAATTAGTGCACTAATAAATGATTTCTTCTAAATATTGGCTGATAAGTGCACTGTTACAGTGCAGAGTCTGCAACACTGTCCTTATAGCATTTTTTATATATTTCACCTTTTTTTTTTTTCTTTTCCTTATTCTGCTATGAACATGGTTTCTGTGTGGCTAGCCCGCATATTGTAGAAATGCAGGCTTGACAATAAATATATTTTTAAAATATAATTTTATCATAATTTTTAGAGAGTATATAATCTTTAACATGGAGATCATGAATTTGAAAAAATAAAAAATAAAAAAATAAAATTGAAAACTAGAAATAGTAATTATATTAATAAAACATTTGGAACTGGTCTAGCCTGCATGAAACAATTTTCCTTTTTCTTTCTACTTAAAACTTTATTATTATTACAAATTTTTAATTTGCTAACCGCAGGATTTGCCACCTTGAGCCACTAGACTCAAACGCATCAGAGTGGGTTGAGCGTGACAGGGCGCCAATCCTGTAGGTCCCTCAACTTGAGGGATATAAAATTTATTTGTTGTTCATATGGTTTGATCTTCAATCTAATACCTACACCGCCAATCCCCTCATGAGCACATAGATATACACATAAACACATATATGAAAGAGAGGAAATCTATCAAAATTGTCACAAAAAGACGAACAATTTTATAGTTTACCTACATTTTTGATTGAATTCCAAAGTACCCAAAAAAAAATGGTCTTAAGTTGAAATATTGTAATATTTTCTAACACTATATCATATTATATTATATATATATATTTATTATATAATGATCACTTAAAAAGTATTCCTTCAGGTGCCTAATCATTTTCTCCAAAATCCAATTATGCTTATAATATTTATTTTTTTGCTTCCTTATGTGACAATATAAAAAAAAGGAATGTAAATTTTAAACATTTTTTATAATTTTTTTAGATTTTTTTGGGATTTTTTGAGTTTTTTGGGATTTGTTTTAAACAAAATTGTATTTTTCAAAAAATATCGGGGCACTAATCAGCCGATCTAGTTGGACTAATCGGATCGGTCCAGGACCAACTAGTCGGCCCGATCCGTTGTTTTGAACACTGGTAGAAATAGACAAGAAGCTAAATCAGAAGAGGGGCAAATCAGGAAAGAGATCATTATGAGCATTGTAATCACCTCATATTCTACATACGACATTATTGCAATGTCACAATTCCCACACATATACATGCCTAGAAAGATGAACAGATCAGGAGCACAGCCTACAACCAACTCGTTGCTCCCTCTCAATTCTGTGTCTGTCTCCCTCTCTGACTAAACAGTGTAACCATCCCTCTAAATCACATTTGCACCGAATTCAGCAGCTTCAGCCTCATCCTTCCTTCCACTGAAACAACATGGCACTGAACTGGAAAGAGGATCAAATGTCATGGTGCGGTCATAGACTCAGTGTGTATACAAATGTGAAGATCTTGTGATCAGGCAGCGATGGTCCAGCATCAAGAAAAGCCATAAGTCATCAAACCTGGTCTAATGGACCAGAGGAACCAGAATTCAACCCAAGAGAAAATATTGTCAAAGAGCTATTGAGCATCCAAATCAGGCTTGCAAGGGTATTCAAGACCCTGGAGAGCTGGCATTCTTCTCAGATCTTCTTCAGAGTATGTTGGAATGAACCAATATGCCTTATCAGTGCCGAATACCTAACCACCAAAGCAAGAATTGAATTGATAGATATATCCAATATCCATAACAGCCTCTACTATTATTGACAAAAACAAGGATGAACGTATCCAGTAACATCAGTCTGTTTAATTTTCTTATTGAAAAAAGTAAGGATGAAAGTATCCAGTAATATCAGTATTTTAATCTTCTAATTTCTTTTGTTTTCTTAGTTACCGGTATAGCCTAAAAGAACTTAGCTATATGGGTCTGTCCTTGAAACCCCATGGGTTGGGTAAGGTCGAACCGACCCCAGGTTCCAAGAACTTAGTGGTGAATTTGTCATGATGCACAATGACAAATATCTCTCTCTTTCGACTGAAGATTTAGTGAAATCTTCATGCCCACCCTTAAATCGTATTGGATTGTACACAGTTAAGGTGATGAAATCAATCTCGACATAGTGATAAATATATGCTAACCTATCCAATAATGCATGCAACTAATTTGTTTGTTCAAAATATCTTGACAAATGACCAATTATACTCCATCCAAGCATGCGGAAGAGACTAAAAATTTAGTGGAACGATGCAAATCGCTGTCAGAGAACAATCATGATGGGATTCAGCAGCACCACATCTTGGACTGAATCTCATCGCTAACCAACCAAAAAATCAAAACAACGATTATGACAGGTGGCTAGAGCATGCAAAAACCTGTTCAAAGTTCTTTCTTCCACCAAGGTCATAGCGCCACTTAGGAGAGGTCTTCTTCTCATATGCCTGAATTCAAATCAGTGGAGACATTAATTAAAGATTATATAGGTTTTAACATTAAATAGGAGTTGACATTAAATAGGAGATAGGCATGGTCATTACCTCAATTGTTGTAGTATTACCAGAAACTAAAGAAATATGCATGATTAGGAACCCGAGAACACTCAATGCAAATGCCAGGTTCAACACTAGAGAGGCAAAGCATAAGTCATAAAAATGTGGTGGCAAGAGTTCAAGGGTAAATGAAAAAACATAGCAAATTTAGCAGAGGAAAAATAATTACCAAATGCAAGAAACGTCGTGGCAAGAGTTCCTGCTGTTCCGGGAATTTCATTATCACTAAAGAATGCAATGAAATTTGGCAATAATGATATTGAGACAAGAGTTGTCTCAAGAAATGTATAGAACTGTATTTGATGAAAAGTAAGTCAGTTATCAAACTCCGAATTTAAAAAGGTCTTCAAATGTTGATTATATAAATAAACTACAAATAGCTAACGAGAAACATAAAGAAAAAAACTCCACTTAACTATTTCAGTTCTCCATAACATATATAGGGAATAGAAGTACCAGCAAGACTCACATATACACGTTGTAGAAGAGTAGAAGAGTATATGACTAAATAAATGACTTAATTTGTCAAAAGAAAAAAAAACAGTGATCAGGTTACAACAATTACTCTCAAATAAAGTTTCAGCTTGAAATGCCAACTTTTTCGAAAGTGACTAAAAAGCTATGCTACCTAGAAATGATAAGATATGGGCATATGACACAAACATTACGAGAAAAATAAAGGAAGGAAAGCAAGTCATTTTTCATATTAAAACAAAATACCAATTTTATTGAAAAGTTTAAAGAAAGGATTAGAACAACTAAAATTCTACTCATGATGAATATATATTATTTAAAAGTTTCATTTGTTTTAAACTTTTAATATACATATTCAAACAAGAATGAGGCTTATTCACCCCACAAAAAAAAAAGAACGACGCTTCATTTGCCCCAAAAAAGGGGGGAGGGGAGGGGGACGGGGGGAAGAGTGCCCATCAACCTTAACACGACAGGTGGGTAACTGCATAAAGTACAAATAGGACTAAAAAGACCTCACGGGTCTGTTTATCCCAATCATAAAACATAGGTTGGAAGCGGTATGTTGGATAGCAATCTTCATTTTTAAAGATGCTGGCAAATGATTCCCTATTGACCACTATAGAATCTTTCAGAATAGGAAATTTAATGCAAGAAGGCCCTATGCAAATGCAACATAAATGGACCAGAAAAAGATCACATCAATAATCACCAATTGTTGCATACTTCTCATTTCTCAAAGAAATATCCCTTCTTCCTCCATTTATTATCTTTTTCCTTGTTTGAATTTCGTTTTTCCTCACATCTTCTGTTCTAGTTCTTCCTGCATTTCATGGCCATTTTCTTTAGTGCTTGCTTCAATTAAATCTAAATACTTCAATGTTTGCACCCAAAAATAACCCAAGGTGCGTCTTATGGGTCATGCCATGTCGATATGGCATTCTCAAAGTATCCTAGTGTATGGCTGTTTACATGTCTTGGGTATAGACCATTAACCTACTTTAAAGTGTAAAAAGTAATATAGGTCAAAACTCAAAAGCAAAGAAGCTAGAAATTTGATTGCATATCCCTCCTCAAGACACAGATACTGACCAACCTCAGAACCATGACCAACCAATGCACAATGCACATAGACAAACACAATATGCACGTTTGTCTAAATTTTCTTCTTTATAAAAGCATCACAAAAGGAATTGCAATTCATGTTAATTCTTACAAGTATAAAAAAAAACAATACACTAATTTTTTTTCTTTATAAAAGCACCACAAAACAATACAGCAGCAGCATACTTATATCATGATAGAAGCGCAGTAGCATAGATTCATGGCATGTATTAAGAATTAACATGAATTGCAATGCCTGTCATGAAAAAATGTTTTATTGATTAACAAGTGTTTGTCAGATTTCGATTATCGCATTAGTTACATATAGAAAGGAGTGAGATGGTGAGAACAAGAAGCAATGTTTATTCACTCGTAATATAATTTATATACCATAGTTGTTGGGTACGGGAACGGTTCTGGGATCGGGGGCGGGATCGGCGGATCGAAGCTATACTGAAGATCCATGTGCTAAGAATTGAGATGCCCATACAACCTCTAAGGTCGGGATCGAGGTCCGTGTGTGTTGGGGATCGAGCTCCTTTATTACATAGGATCGAGAATTATTATATAAAGGTACGAGATCCTATATGTATGAAGCAAAGCTCCCAAGGGCATTTTTTTTAGTTTCTTAACTTAGGGAGCACTTTACTAAAGGTGATCCAAAATATTATTGAGCGAGGAATAACTTTTATAGGAGCGAGCTCCATTTTCTTAGAACACGAGATCCTCGAGTAGGTAATAAGGATCTGTGGCTTTAAAACAAAGCTCCCGGCATTGTTAACTAATAACATGTAGGCTTAGTCCTTCTATAAAATAAATAAGGAACTTTAAAGCAATCCCATATCAGTGGGATCTGGATGTCACATATGGCGATTCTTGTGTTCCGTTATTTTGGAATCTAGATCCCAATGCAGTCTAGAGCGCGAAACATAAGACTAGGGAACTAGATGTTGTAATGTTCAGGAACGCAAACTTAAATTGTAAGGAACTCGTTCCCTTATAAGATGGATCGAGATCCCGAAAACCTTAACTTGAGTTTCAAACGAGATCCACTCCGGGATCGAGAGAATCGCGGTTCTGCAAGGGATCGCCAAGCAAGGGAGAAGATTCTGGTAACTATGTTATATATACTTTATGTTTTTGTTTTGCTGCATTTAAGAAAAGAGTGTTCTGAACTCATGTAGTTGGAAATGTACAACAACCCTAGATTACCACTTACACAAAAGATCCCAGCATCACTGTTTAAACAGTCCAAGATATAGTGTTTGGTGAAGCTGGGAAGTTATGTATTTTAACTGCAAATGAGATTAAGAAAGGGGGAATCAACCCTCCCTAAAACAGCTGAGGTTCAAGTCTGCCTCTCAATTTATTCTAAGAATTTTGTGGGAAAAAATATTAATAACTGAAGGAGGGAAAGTTAAGTTAGTTGGTGCCAGGAGACCCAGTTAGTTTGATTCAGGAAGCTTGCATATAGAGGCTATTTAGTTTTTAAATAGCAAAAAATAGCAGCACTTTTGAGACGCTATAGGCTTGAAACAAGCTCAATAACACTTGTTTATAGCCATTTCAGAAATTGAAGAATGACAGAGAAACACAGATCAACAAACAAAATTTTGGAATTGCTAATTTTGGCAATTTTCAGAATTTCTTGGGAGCTGCTCTAGAGTAAAGGCCACGATTAGCACTTCCTGTCCATTAGATGGGTGAAAGTTAAAATCTGCCCTCAATTATTTATCAATTCCATTCTCTATTAATAGTAAAATCAAACCTTCGGTGATAAAAAATGGTAATATAGAACTCTGAAAAATAGTGAAACAGAATTCTGAAGTAAACATTTGTTCAATAGCTAGCGCTGAGTTTTAGACAGGAAATTAGTAGCAAGAATACATCTGATTAGTACAAAATCAAGCGCATTCCAAGAGATAGTTATGAATATCACAACCACTACTTTGCACATAGACATTTGAATTTTGAAGCACAAAATTCAAAAGGAAAGAATAAGCAAAATGCATGTTCTGTAGAGAATCTACCAGGAAAAGAAGAAAATATTTATAGTTTAAAGCACCGACGCAGTTTACAACCCAGACACAGTGATGATCCATTTTCAGAATGCACCTTCCACCTGATACGAACAATAAGAGTATCACTGACCAGAATGAGAAGCAGAAGCCAAAAAATAAAGCAAATGCCGCAGAATCATAAGACAGCAATTGGGATAGCTCCATACAATACGAAGAAGCCTAAAAAATTTGTAACTATAAAGTATAAATAAGCCCATACTCTGGACTGCAGAGGGAAGAGAAGTAAAAGGCTCCAAATATTACATTTCACCTCCATGCCCTCCTTAGGTTGGTTTTAGATGTCTCAGATTACATTTCTTAGAAGAAATTTCTGGTCCCTTTTTCAAGTACCAGACTACAGAATGGAAGATAGGTAAAACAAGAAGCTTGATCATTCAAGGTGCCTACTTATAATTACATTTAATAGGATATATGCACATTGTATCCTGGTTGTCCTGTAATTTTTCCCGGCACCTTATGAACACAAAATTCAGACTCAAGCACACAACAAGCAAGCACTAAATTAATTTAAATATTTTGTACTCACAAACAGAACAGTGGTGGCAACGAGGTGGTTTCATTTGGTTGCACTTTCGGCAGTAGCGGATTCTTGAATTTGAAGAGTCAACAAGTACTGATGATTGTAGCATAGTTTGCCCACTGAATTCAGAACTTGCCAATGGAACATTTTCTCCCCTCTCCTCATCTATCACAGGCCGCCAGTTTGGAGGAACACCTCCAGGATCAGTAAAAACTACAGAGAAATAACTCCATAGTAGCATCGCCAACTGCAAAAAATGCCAAAACTAAATGAAAAAAGTATCCCCCTAAAAGACAATGGAATGGCTAGTATTTTATGAAATATAAAAGAACATCACCTAGGAAACTGAATTCGTCATGAAAATATAGAATAAAGCTGTAAAAATTGAAAATACACAAGCAATTGAGACATAAGATTGAAAGAATCCTATATGACAAATCCTCGGATATAAAACCCTTGATCTAACATGAGTCTTTACAGGTTTTGGTTACAAATGTCCTTGATCTATACCAGTGAGATCCAAAAAATTACTAAAATACACTTGATGCAAAACATAATTCCCAGACCAGAACAGAGAATGCAGACCCAATAGAAGTTGCAAGCATAAGGCAAGACATATAAGCATATAACAGATTCAAAAGATCAGAACTTGAACACGAGAGAAGCGTCCTTTTGTCAGAAACTCAGAATGCAGGCTACTTTTCATCCCATCTCTTCATATCTGAATTATGAAGTGAAGCAAATGAGATTCCAATAAAAAAGAAAAAAAAAATCTCTATAATTTTATGTGAAGGAGGGAATGCTGGGAATCCAGATCACTGTCCAGAACATGATTGCTGGCTGGAAGGCTCCCAAAACCCAAAATAATGAGGTGCGATGAGTTCTGTACCCAAAAACCTAAGGTATTGTGTTCTCGCATGCATGCACACGTACACAGTCTCAAGTTTTTGCTGTGCAGTTAAAAAGTGGCGTAAGGCAATATAACAGTAAACAAAATTTAACAACTCAAGAAAAATGGAAAGGAAGAACACAAAAGATGACTTTAGAAAACAGAAATATAGACTAAGCAAGTATAGAGTTCATATGGTGAGTCGGAGTAGGAGGAGGATATCCCATAAACTCAAGATATTAAACTTACCCCTGAACTTGCACGAGCCTTGAAATCAATAGGCTCGTTTATTGAAGACTTGAAGAAGGGGGGCTGGGATCGGTGTTGGTTCAGGTCAGCCATGAATCCCAAAAACGCAAGGACTCACTAAGATATTAAGGACTTGGCAAATCCTTGATAAAACTCTGTGAGCCTTCATAGGACTCACTGAGTCCTTTTCTTCTGTTTTTGGAGATAAGACTCACTGAGTTCTTCCTATTTTAGTTTTTGGCCTTGGGACTTGAGGCAGGTCAATCGACATAAATTTTAAAACCATGTTTAACTTTTAGTTCTCATATTTCAAATGATTTTTTAGCTCTAATGACTTCAATTGTAGAACTGAAAAGATAAGAGCAAAGGGCCATGTGTAACCTTTGCCTTATGGGCCTATGGGGCCAGGGCCTAAGGATTATGTATAAAAATCATAAACTACAGCTCTTAGCACCAAAGCAACTTAAAAATGGCATTTCTATTGCTCATGAGTTGAAGACATGTGCCTAATGATGGAGTATACAACTTGGCGCCCAACATAAGCAATTGTTGTCTCAGATGAGGCATGCACCTTCAGGTGCATATGCCTTTGACTGCTATGCTTGGGTTACCAAATGTCAAGTGAGTATGGATTTCAAGCCAAATTCAGATCCTTTGACTACGAACATGTGTGCATTGAACAAAAATAAAGGTAAGGTTGCTCCATCCTTAGTGTTAACAATTTGATAGTCATGCTTCACGCGCATACATCCTGCTTCTGATATTGAAGCTTATTTTTTCAGTCTATGGAACTCACTTTTATTTCCATTTCTTGTAAAATAAATTAAACGTGTGACTGTGATATTCATTTCCATTGACCAATGAATGTGCTGACACAGACATATCTAGTCCCAACTCATAAATAGAGAGATTTAATATTTTTATAATCTTTATAAGACTTCTAAAGTATTTTTAAGAAAGACAATGGGCATCACAATTCCACGATAATTGAAATCTAGGGTGGAGCATTTCCATCAAGAAAAAAGACAAGAAGCAAAAAACAGCAACATAAGAGAAACAATACAAAAGCCATGGAAAATAATAAATAGAAGATCTAGTTCATATGAATACGGATCTCCTCTATTGGTTAACAAGCCCTAGAACAGAAACAAATTCGAGCTCAAACACCTCATGTGACTCACAATCTCAAGCATTTGAAAATGGCAAGCAGCTACATAGAGAAGCCCTTGTATAAGACTTAAAACACAATATCACAGAGAACGCACCTTCTACTGATAAATAAGAAAGACAGAGAAATGAAGCTTAGTGATAATCAGTGTTCTGAGACTCAGCTGAGGCCACTTAGACTCGGCCAAGTAACTCGGCCTTGCCCCATGGGTGAGGCGAGCTTTGGGCGAGTAGCTTGTCAGCATGTTTTTAAAGTTTAATTACATTACTACCTCAGATTTAAGTCAGATGTGCTCAAATGGCTACCCGGTTAGCCCTAACGCATAAATTTTGATGCAGTCGGGGTTCGAAACCAACTAGAGTACACAACTTTCCTAATGTTTGTCCACTATTTTTATATGACAAGAACATCACTTTTAAAGACGTCATTTTTTTGGAGTTACAAAAAAAATGTAGCCCCCACTAGAATGAATCCCACTAGAGTACATAGCTTTCTTAATGTCCGTCACTTATTTTTATATGACAGGAACATCACTTTTAAAAATGTCATTTTTTGAAGTTCAAAAAAGAATGTAGCACCTGTTAGAATGGAAAACAAGACCTCTTGTAAAGAGTACGTTTATGCAAGGGAGGACCAACCAGTACGCCAGTCTGCTGCTTAGTTGATAAAAGTGGTGTTCATATTAGATAATAGTTTTTTGTCTTGAGCTGGATTCAAGCGAGTTGCACGGACTAACCCGAGTAACTCGCCTCAGCCAAGGCCTGAGTGCCTCGGCCGAATCGATTTTCTGAACACTGGTGATAATTATAGGTAAGGATACTAAACTATCCACATCAACGACAAGGCATCCCCACTTCGAAGATGAATTCTGGGTAGAGGAAGTGTGTCATGAAGAAAGCTCTCACTTAGCAATTACTAGCATGTCATTGCATACCCGCCCTAGTTTTCTATTGGTATGTAGTAACAATAATCACTCGATAAGCTTCTGCAATAAAAGAAACAACCCATAGTTCAAATGATCTACCTCCAAAACATATATGTTTAATAGGTTGAAATAGCTATCATCTAGCCGATACGAAGCAATGAGTGAACTGATTCTTAAACAATAGGGGTTATATAGATATGCAGACCACTTTTAGAAAAATGAACGTAAAAAGACAGTATATCTAATTTTCCCTAATACCACAAGCCATGTCTTAATCAATTCCCAAGCATATAAAAGGAAAAAAGTTTCTCCTCTGGCATTATCTTCCCAGGAAATTGATGACAGTCCATTTCCCTCTAAAAACAAAAAGATATTCACACCCACACAAAATTGACTGGAATTACTTTACAACCAAAAAGAGCAACAGTTAAAATCCGTAGGCAGATAAACATCCCAAATTCTCTATTCTATCGATTAAATTTCAGGTCAGCCAAAAAGTTAAATCATCAGATTATAGGCTGCAAAGCGCATAAAACTTCATTGATATTGCTCCATGATTTCTAAACCAATAAAAAGATACAAACTTTGCCCTAGGATTCACCATTAAAGCTTCAAAAGAGTAAAATAACGATCATAGAAAGAGAAAAGCAAAACAGATATACATAATCAGGACCTAATTTCTTCAAATAAAAAAAACCTAGAATTTCAGAAGATCGCTGAAGCATCATAGGCATAGCACTTACAAGGCCGTGAAAGAGGATCAAAACTGCAAGAGCTATAACAACGTCAAGGCCTCCATTTTGAAGGGAAGGGCCATAATTGGTAATAACAACTGCGTAATATGTGACTCCCACCACGCCTAGAACCAGGAGGATCATTACGGAGCCCAATCCCCTTAGGGCTGTGCAGAACTTGAAGACGTTCCAGGCCATTAGAACTCCAGATCTGTGCATAATGGGAGGAGAGAGAAAAGGAGGAGCTTGATGGGGAATTTCTTGGGTTTTAGGTGGGAAATGGGAGGGAGTGGGCCTTCATGGTGCACAACAATGCTGTGAGAACAGGTCTAGGCAAGAGAGAGATTTTATTTGTAAGAAGCTGCCTATCTAGAGAGAGAGAGAGATTTTATTTGTAAGAAGCTGCCTATCTAGAGAGAGAGAGAGATTTTATTTGTAAGAAGCTACCTGCCCGGAATGAACGACAGAATTTAAAAATCCAGGAAAGACTTTCTACAAGTCCATCCCTGTAGTTATATGTCTGCCGTTTTTCCAGCGGTCAGATCTCGATGGACGGCTAATATTATTTTGTGAGTCATGTCACATAAAATTCGTGAAAAACTATCAATTAAGGGGAAAAAATGGTCAAATAACATCAATAGCATTGGAGGAGAGCTTTTTCATTTTCATTTTATTCGAATATCCCTATAAAAAATAAAAAATAAAATTCATTTAACCTTGTTCAAAGTCGAAAAAGTTCAAAAAAAAAAAAAAAAAACTCTCTTTATTCTTTTTTTTTTAGTTTTATTTCTTAATAACTCCAGGTTTTAAAAATTATCTTCTAACCCTCATACTAATTTTATCCACTTTAAAACTATGTTTTAGCCCAAACAAATATGAAAATGAGTAATGATCCTACGAGACCCTTTCACACTCATATATATAGGACTTAAAATAATCACCATTAAATTTGATATAGATCTTTAAAAACATCAAGTCTCGTAAAAAAAAGTTAAACCTTATGATTTTTTTAAAAATTCGTATCAAATTTAATGATAATCTTTTAAAATCCTATATAGGTGTGAGAGGGTCTCCATCATTACTCAAAAAAAATACACGCTCTTTGATCCGTATCCTTTCTCTCTCCTTATATTCTCCAAACCTCTATTTTTCTCTATCTCTCGAGTTTCCCCAAACCCCTTCTCTATCTCTTTCAATATTTTCCTTTATTCTCTCTCCCTATGACTGCATAATCAATAGAGGAACTATCAGCTCCTCATACAATAACAGCACCTAAGAAGCAAAAATTTTTATGTTTTTCGTTTAAAAGGATTGAAAAACTTTAGATTTCTCTCCTTTTCTACGGCTCCCCCTACCTTTTACAGTCTCCCCCTCTCTCTCTCTCTAGGTTTTAGCCCACCCCTTTTCCCCTTCTTTTTCTGGTTTATATTGCCTCCCTCTGTCTAGGTTTTGAAACCCTCCCTCTCTTTCCCCCCCTCTCTCTTTCTCTCTCTGGTTCTCTAATTAAAACGTTCTCTCTCAATGGGGGACTTCGACAAAAAGAATGGCTTAGAAAGCATGGCCTCCACCTCTTAAACTTTCATGGTGGATTTTTTCATAGTTAACATAATAGGTCTGAAACATTACACGGGCATTATTAATGGCAAAGAAATGGTGCGTTTAGTGAAAAAACCCTCAACCCATCCGATCTGAACGCCATTAAAGTCCTCAACATGGGAGGACAACATGTCGGTTACATAGAGAAGGACTCTGCAAAAGTTCTCTCCTCTCATCGATGAGTCTTTTATCACTATTGAAGGCCCCAATTGCATGCCTAAGCCTCTATCATTTTCCCATTAAACTAGTTCTTCTAACCCCATAAGCTTCAGAACCGCTAGTTTCTTTTCAAAACTCCAAACCTTGAAAACAAAGAGCAGCGGTTTAGGAGACTAGGAAGAGAGAAACCCGTGAGAGAGAGGGGGTTTTGAAAAGGAGGATTTTTTTAATTTGTTTGGGCAAAAGATATGGAGTAAATATAGGTAAAATGGATTTAGGGGGTTAGAAGAAATAAAAGATAGAATTTTTATGTGGTCAAATAGGTTTATGGAGTAAATATAGGTAAAATGGATTTAGGGGGTTAGAAGAAATAAAAGATAGAATTTTTATGTGGTCAAATAGGTTTTAAATCTTTAAGTCTACGAAAAAATGATACATAAAAATAGAGCTTATAGAGATACTTTTATAGAGATACTTTTCCTAAAACAAAATTGGGGTATTTTAGAATTTTGATCCCAAGATACTCCAAATTCGAACCCCTCCCTCCTTTGGCTCTCTCTGTCTGCTCTTTCCTTTCATCAAATATCATGCTTGCTTCAGATAGATTGTTTTCATATCAAATTACTGCAAGAAGATCCGGCTTTTTATCAACTTGAGCAATTCAATCAGTACTTCGCTTCTCTGCCACTCCGGTATAGTAGAAAAGTCTAAAGTATGGGCTCGATCTCGTCTCTCTCTCTGTCCTTTCCGTTGAATGATAAATATAGCCCCTACTTATTGAAGATTACAAATAAGGGATACATTAGAGTAATGAGGAGCAACCTAGAATAATTTTGTCGTTGACACCCATATGCCTTACATATCGCAAATACCATGAGACTATTTATGTTTGATACAGGAAGGTCAGATTGCTCTTAGCCATTGGATGTCAAATTAAATGGTTTAGGGTATTTTACAAAGTTTTGAATTTTAAAAAAAAAACTTATGAGTCTAATCAATGACATTTTCACAATCATCTGATTTGAAATCCGACAAACAATAGTGGTTCTGACCTCTTGTATTAAAAGTAAATGATATTTTTGTATACTTTTCCATAACTTAAAGACCCATAATTGTTCCTCATTGAGAACTCTAAAAGGTATCTTTTTTATTTGTAATTCTAAACAAATAGGAGTATTTTTGTCATTCAGTCGGGACCTCTTGGGAATGAATAGATATGAGAGAACTTAGGGGTGGGTACAATAGACGATAAGATGAGGGAAAGTAGACTTAGATGGGCTAATCATGTGCAGCGCATATCTAATACAACATTGGTTAGGAAGGACAATTTGATTTAACTAAAATACTTTAAAAGGGCAAGGGGAAGGCCCAAAAGGATATAGACGAAAGTAGTGAGAAGAAATATGGTAACTCATAGACTGACTAAGGCTGTGTCCCTTGATAGAGCATAATGCGAAACATGATTCATGTAATCGATCCTATATAGTTGGAATAAAGCTTAATGATGATGATGATGGTTGGGGCCTCATGGAAGATCAAATTACTAAAGCACCCATTCTGATTTAGGCTTCCGAAGCCTAAACAAGGGCATTTGGAGTTTAAGATTTTTATGAGGAATTATCTAAGTAATATAAAACTTTAAAAGAAATTTATCAAATGTTAATTAAGATATATTAACCTCTTAATAATTTTGCAAGAATTTCAACCTCTTGGACAATAATTTCCTTTAAAACTGAAGAAAAGATGTTAACCCCCAACCCCACAGTAGTGCACAAATAAACCGTCGACTTCATTGAAAGAGAGGAAGCCCTCCAAATTTTAAGAGATCCACCCTCTCCCGAGCCTTTTTTTTTCTCCATCTCATTTGCAGATATACCATATTTTTTAATGGAAAATATATAATGCCACCATTTACCTTTGGTACAAGGTGGTCACAATTAATCTTGGCCATTGGATGTGAAATTGAGTGATTACATTTATTTCATTGACCAAGTTTAAAGTTCAAAATAAACTTTCTCGAACTTTATGGCACACCCGAGCTGTCACATTTCACATTGGATGGTTATAAGTAATTGTGACCTCCTTGTTCCAAAGGTAAATGTCTACTCTCTTTTTTTGATACCCCTCATCTATAACCCCCCGCTCTTCATGCGAACACCCTCTAAACAATTATGGCGTATTTGATTCTTGAAAAGAGTAGCTTCCAAAGTCGTCACTTCCATACCCTCTATTTGATAACAAGAAGTGCTTCAATAAGTGTGTATATTTGAAAACAATGTTCTCATTGATCTCTTTCGATGTTGATTATTTAATTCTTCTTATCTTTCTCCAAGTTTATTCTACAACACTAATCTCCTTCTTTTTTGTAATCTTTTTTATAAGAACAATTGTTTCATCCAGACTGAACTGCATTTCTACAATATGTCGTCCCAACGTTTAAGCATCCATCTTAAAGATAGATGCAAATAGGTGGTCTATTTAAAAACAATTGAAACTAACGGTTCAAAAGTTTTTTTAATAGAATTATTCTTTTTATTTTTAAAATTTTATTTATTTTTCATATTCACGATCTCCATTTAGAGACTATATGTTCTTAAAACTTAAATCCAAAAATCTATCTCACAAATAAAATTTTAAGAGGTGACTCAACTCATAGAAACGGTGTCCTTTTTATAAACTAAAGCTTAGCTACCTGTTTAAGAAAACTTGATTCATCACTGATACTTCTCTCTCACTAGGAAACTGGGTGAACCTCCATGATGACCATCGACCTTTTTCAGAGTGATGTGACCCAACACCCAAGCCAAGTATATGAAATTTTTAGAATTGTCAAGATAATTTATGCTCCCGCGGGAGCATGTTGTGTATTTCCCTTAGGTAAAAACCCACCCAACATAGAAGTGATTACAGGACCCTAAATTTATGTAACCTCTTGAATTTTTAGACTAACCTCAATAAAAAAAATTATATATCACACTCTACACACTTCAAAAAAAAAAAAAAAATCTCAAGATTGAAGAGAGACCCTCCAATGAATTGCTTATGGGCCATAGACTATGGCAATGTAATATTATCAAGTTCCATGAAATATGGTACATGATAAGGTAAAATACAATGTTTTAAGTTTTAACTTTTCCAGTGTAGCGTGTGGTTTACCCTCCGCATATGTCGTAATTATAGAACTGTCCTTTTTGGCTTTGGTATTTAGTAATTATAGAATGAAAAATAAAAGGTCTATATAAGGTCAATCTTATACCGTACAAGTAAGGTGCACCTAAAAACCTTATTAGAGAAAGTTGTTATTTCTATATTGGAAAACCTTCAAATCTATTATCTCACCTTGAGATTCATAGACATGAAAAAAAGAGAATTCTAGTCTTAAAATAGTTCATCTTCTAATATATTATCTTGACTGTCCATAATTTAGATTTTTAAGTTTGTATTGATTTGCTTGATCATCACCGTTTTAGAGCAACAATAGATCTTCATATCATCACATGGCTTTGCGGCACCAAAACTGCATTTTTGACACAGTTTTAAGATGCACCTTAAAAAGTTGACACTTTATACAAACCTCACCACCTATAAAATTACTGATGTGTTTTAAAGGGATAGTTTCTATGTGGGCATGCCCGCATGCCTGTACAAGCCCCTAATGTCCAACTTAGTTGGACAGAGGGGATTGCAAAAATATCTTGCAATCACCACCATAAGGGCTTGTGCATAGGCATGCCCAACAATTAACCTTTTACAAAGTACACACAAGAATGGCTGTACAACTTGGACATCCACCCTCCATTACCCATATGAATCGCAGATGCCTAGTTCATAACTGAACTGCAACTTCGCGAGTTTGATGTGGATTCGTCAGAGTTATTCGACCACCGGAGGGTACAAAGTCCAGATACAAATCTATGGGATTTTGCTAATTCTCTCTAGTAAGGGTATCTAAGCCTGACTTGACTGAGGCTTGGGACCATATAGTGAGTCTCTCTAGTCTCCACCCAAGTCCTTGTTTTAAACTACTGCACTGCACCATTAGCACAGGACTTGGTGCACAATGTGCATTTCCTCCATCCCCTATGAAATTGGTGTGTGGCATGCATTTCCTTACTGAAAGTCCACCATAAACTCAAGAACGATTTTCATATATCCAGTTTGTGCATTAGGAAATTTCTACTTCCTCCATTTAGGACAAATACAAAGAAGGAAATTTAGCAAAATACATCATAAAAATCAACTATTAAGATTTCACTCATTCGTCAAGAGAACTAAACTATCAACTACTCTTAACTGATTATTATGTTTCTGTTGATGGGCTTTTTTACAAAGGACACGGTTTTTATGCGGCCAGCCCGCATATTGTAGAACAGTGGGCTTGGCAATAAATATATTTTTAAAATATAATGTAATCCTATTTTTCAGAGAATATATAATTTTTAACATGGAGATCATAAATATGATTTTTTTTTTGAAAACTATAGATAATAATTACATTGAGAAAACATTTGGACCATTAGTTACAATTGTTTTTAGATGGACCACCTATTTGCATCTATCTTTAAGATGGATCTTTATATGTCTGGACCACATATTGTAGAAATGTGGTCCAACCCATGTGAAACAATTTTCTTTTTTACAATAAGATCAAAAAAATGAGTGAGATATTAAAATAGTTCATTTCTTGGGTACTTTTGATAAATTATATAAAAAATATATGCTTAAGGGATTGTATTACTAATGCAATCTAGGAAACTGCTTTTTGCTTGGGATAGGAGGAGAGTACAAATTTTGAATTAAGCCAAAAACAATACTACAAATGGAGAGTATAAATTTTGAATTAAGCCAAAAGCCTACAAATGATTTGGACCGGTGTTTTTTTATGTTGGATGTGGTGATATCGAAAATTGCCTCAATAAAAAAATCCCATATTATATGGATTGATATTGATATTGATAAGTTTCTTAATTAGTTGGGATACCCATTAGATCCAAATAGATTAAGACTTTTGATTACATTTTAAGTTTGATATATATTTGGCATCATTGGGATTCTTATCTAGTATGGGATTCGAGAGGAAAGAATATGTGTGTTCTATTTAAAGCCACATATAGGAAATGTGGCTTCCCTAGAGAGAGAGAATGGCAGGGCCTCTTAGACATAAGAGGGCAAGGCTTCCACATAGAGGGGCACTATTTGGAGCCACAATATGAGAAAGGCAAGTTCCTGTAGAGAGAGAGAGGCCGGGGCCTCCTGGGACAAGGCTTCCACATAAAGAGAATTGAGCTTACTACAGAGAGAATCGTTGCAATGGTATTTCCTAAAGAGTGACAGACTGGTTTCTTGTAGACATGATGTTTTCATTGAGATTTGGATGATTCTATTTTTATAAAGAGAAAATATCAGTTGCTCTCAAGGTTATCTTCTTGTATGACAATTTAGTTGTAGAATCGAGATGTGAGATTGTCCGGTCAGATGGAAAAGCTAGTCTACAAAAGATACTCCTGATTTTCAATGATTATCAATCCGGGTGCCAGACTTTAAAAGCCTGATTCAGGCAGAAGTCATGTTGGGTGCTAGACATCGAATTTAACCTATGTGAGCAAGTTCAATTCTTCACTCCTTTTTATGGATCACTCCCAAAAATAAAATGTGAAATTGATTGCCCTATTTAGATGGCAATTAATTTTATCTAGAATAGAATGTCTTAATAAAAATTATATCCTGGATAATATTATTTAATTATTTAACTTTTTGGCTATTTTGAGCTATTTTTAACCATTTATAGCTCATAATATGTGATTTTCAAGAAAATTATTTCAAATAAAATATAAATATTATAT